GAGAGAGAGAGAGAGACAGAGAGGGGTCCCCATATTTCTAGTGGTTTGAGGCTTCGTGTATGTGTGCGGGCATGTCATATGGACTGAGCTTCTTGGTAGTTGCCTAGCCTAGGTGAACCTTTGTCACCGATGTCTGACAGCAGGGCAAAAGGCCTACACTATACGGTCAAGGACCGCCGGTCGGGATATGCCTGCCTAATTTGCGGGTTGGCTGGAGACATCAGGATGATTCGGTCAGAGGCTTGCCTTCCGGGAACACTTCCTGCCTCAAAGATGGATATGAGCCCTACCACCAAAAGCATCATGCAACAAACCCAAGTCGAAGCCGATGAGAAGATCGCTCTGGAGATGGCCAGAGAGCTTGAACAGCTTCAGGCCGAGGCCGTCAAGCTAGAGCAAATGAAGATACTACAGGACTTGGAGATGGAAGAACTGGAGTTACAAAGCTTGCTTCAGCAGCAGAAAGCTGTGTCCTTGCATCAGGCGGCTGCTTCAGCAGGACTTATCGTGCCGAAGGATGATAAGGTCAGCTGTGCTCCCAAAGGATTGGGAGTCGTTGCCACTGCAGTGGTGAACACCAAAGCAACGAGCCTCGAAAACTCTGAAGTCCAAGCAACCGCAGCAGCGAGCCCCGAAGTCCAAGCAGCCGCAGTGAACCCCGAAGTCCGAGCAACCGCAGCAGTGAACCCTGATGCAGTCCTAGCAACCACAGCCGTGAACCCTGAAGTCCTAGCAACCAAGGCAGAGAACCCGCCTGAAGTCCCAGCAACCGCAGCAGTGAACCCCGAAGTCCAAGCCTCTGTTGCCAAAGTGGAGTTGGGAGCAGCTCCAGCATCCGCCGCGATCGCTAGTGCCTTTGCTGCATATTATTATTCACGTGGGGACTGTGGCCAGATTGGTTGTGCATGCTGTTTGGATCGATCGGTCAAGGGTACTATAGCTGGGTATCATGGCAGGCATTGACAACTTGGAGACGCAGCCAATGGAGCTAGCCCCCATCGCTGCTACCATGTGTGATATGCCTTCTAAAGCCGAAGACTCAGCAGAGCCACTCCCAGAGCCCAGTTCTGGAAAGGACGGGGTTGAGGATGCTACTGGGCTATGATTATATCCTAGTTTGTGCAGCAAGATCGTGTGCCATGTATAGTTTGCAATCGTGATCGAGATAAGGCACCGTCTACGTGTCCTGTCAAGCGGCTGCCTGCCATCAGTCCAGCCGATCAGTCGAAGATGGCAGGTGTGGCCCCAAAAAAGCGTGCGAGGGCCAAGAAGCCCCAGTCATCTGATGATGATGGTGATGAGGGGGGTGACTCTGATCCTTCTGCTGGGGCCTGCAGCTCCGGGGGCACCGGATACAAAGGCCCTGGGCGAGGACGAGGCCGCGCAGGAGGGCGAGGCAGGGGCCGTTCCGGAGGCCCCAAAACGGGCCGTGCAGGAAAGGGTGGCCGCGGCCGTGGTGCCTCGAAGGCTGCTTCCTCCCCAAGGAAGGCATCTAGCAAGAGAGAGCACGAGGATGGAGAGACCGGGGCGCCAAGCAAGAAGAAGGCCCCCAAAAAGGATGCAGAGAAGCCAACTGCAAAGCCCAAAGCAAAGGCAAAAGCTGAGGCGAAGGCTAAGGCTGCTGCCACCCCAAAGGCAGGTGCAAAGTCCAAGAAAGTGCCGGTAGAGGATGGGGAGGCCAAGAAAACGGAGGAGGAGAGCAAGCCCAAGAAACAGGTGCCGAGTGACGAAGAAAAGAAGCGAAGATCCCGCAAGAGTGTGGCTTATCACAAGGCCAAAGTAACGACGCTTCGGGAGGGAGGCACTGTTGAGGAGGCAGTTAAAGCTGCCAAGGCTGCTGCTAAGATGCATTCGTATGATCACTAAACCCTAAACCTTAAACCCTAAACCCTAAACCCTAAACCCTAAACCCTAAAAAAGTATAGCTACATCTTAGCTTTCCTGCTCATCTGAGGCTTATCGAGACACCGACTGAATCCAGCCTGGATACGAGCTGACAGCTTGATGGAGCCAGTATTTTGATCCTATGGGTAGTGGTACAAGGGCAGGTTAGAGCCTTCGCTTCCAGCTTCTCTCTTATTGGCTATAACCCAAATCCCTTAATCCTGTAAGCCCCAAACTCTCAACCCTCTATATCTTCAAAACCAGATCCTGTGCATCGATCTAAATGCAGACTTGTATATGTTGTCCCGGAATATTAAACCACACCTTGCTTACTGCACATGCATCCGCTGGGAAAGCTAGGGTCCTGCCTTTGTCGGGTTTTGGCATGCAATGCATGCCGTGGGGACACGATGTTATCAGACTTCGGTCGCTAGTTCTTGTGTCTGCGGTGAGAACATCGCAGCATGCATCTGAAGTGCAGCCCCACCCAAAAGAAAATCACTTGCTGCAGTGTCTTAATCGTGACTGCTGCTCCATGTCTGCCTGCAGTTAACCCGTCTTGATTAGGGAACCTCAACTGAAAACATGCCAGGATGCCTCGTGGCCCACCTCGCTTTGCTGCCCAAGCAGAAGGCTGGAGAGTTCGCGCCAACATTCAAGGTGCGAAGCCACCCTGCACTGAAGCTGGCTATGCTAGGTTGTAAAACCCTTCAACCTGTGGCCCATTCGGATCGGATCTAGGGTCGTTCTGGTTGGTACACACAAGCTGTGCCCAAAAGCTGGGCCATGGAACCATCTACGATCACGCACTTGATTGAACTGGGTGCACCAAAGGCCCTCTGTCTGCACAGAATCAGCTTATGTTGCACACTCGGGTCTGGATAGTGCTTTCCCACTATGTAATGTACTAGCTCTAGACCCCACAAGTCACTTCAAGCTTAAGCATCAGCCGAGGTGTTGGTTGCAGCGGTCCTTGGCATGTTTATTAATTGAATGGCTGCCAGTCGAGCTCGCGGTTTATGTATCCAGGGTGCTCTTTGACTCGAAGAAGCTTAGGTTCTGCTGATTCGGTGGATGACGAACATGGCCATTGAACCACGGTTCCAGCTCTTCGACTTGTTCTGTGGACAGGGTAACCTGTCCAAATACTGGCTCCTTTGCTGCGGCTGAAGTCCATATAAGATTGCGATTCATAGATCGTGCTGCAACTTGCAGAAATGGTCTAGATCAGCATACATATATTAGTTTCTGACTCATCAGGAAAGAGGCAGGCTATCCGGTGGCCAGCTATGACAAAAACTTTGGCCCGCACATGGACATGAACACCAACTCCGGCTTTGTGCTCCTAGCCTGAATCTACAAACTTAAGAGCATGTGCTACGCAGCTTCGACCCCACTTGGTTTTCGTGAACTGTCTGTCTGAATGCGAGTTATCGATATATATATATATATACAGTGATAATATGTATATTACATATAGTACCCCTCAGGCTGGCGGCATGGATGGTGCTGAGCATGGTTCCCGATGGCCTCCTCGTTTGTGGTCCGGACTGTTCTTCCTGGGGTTTGGTGGCCAGGTCATCTTCAGGAAGGAATTTTGTTAACCCTCACGGCTACATGCAGTCGGACTGGGTGAGCCGGAACAATATGTTGGTCAGTCGGACTCCAGCCCGCAGTTTCGCTCTGCACAAACATGTGTGCACGTAAGCTAACATGTCGTCACGATAGGTGATTGCAACATGCATGTGCTTGCTCAGGCTAGTTCTGCTGTTGATGCTGGTACTCGGCATGCACGCCACCTTCCTCCTAGAGCAGCCAGGGTGCAGCCTTCTGTTCAGATCACGTCGTTGGGAGTGGTTTGTGAATCAAGTTGTATATGCGACTTGCTTGCAGCCAGTTCACTCGTGTCCCCCATCACGGCCGGTAAAATCAGCTGATCCACGTGAGCAGTTCGCCTAGGTTCGTCAAGCCAGGTTCTGGATGGGGCACCACGGAGCTGCAAGCCCCAAACCAACCCTTGTCTACAGCCCAATGACGACAGTGGGTATGTTGGACCGTGGCAAGCTTTCCAAGAAAGATCGCAAAGGCTTATCAATGCAAACGGTTCGTCGCTTGTCTGATCCAAACCTGAATCCTGAATGCATGATTCATATTTTAATTTGCACGTGAGTCGCCAAGGCAGGCACATCGACAAGTCCGGCAAGCCCCGCTTCACTGGCAAGAGCCAGGAGTTGAAGCAATCCGGGTTCCGTTGCTGACACTACTTTATTGGGTATGTTTACATGTTACATTAGCAAGCCGGGGATAGCATATATGCATGTTCGATATCTAAGGATCTACACTCTCGAGTTCGCAAAAAGTCTGCTAGCAGTCTATGAAGCTTGGCTTGCCCGCCCTGCAGCTGAACGAGGAGATCTACGTGTGAGAAGGAAAGTTCAGGGGTTACTCACAGACAGGGAACTGTTTGAGGGCATGCCGCTCTCCGATACGTGGATGGACTCTGGAATCCATGAGGTTGTCCTGTACTTGTACAAGTCGAGTCATCTGAAGACACTTGGGCATCGAAGCTAGCAAAAACATGTATATGTATCGGTCGGAGACAGGTCTTCCAAGTAGTGATAGACTAGATAGTAGATGTCGAACTCTAGGACAGTAGCTGCAGATATGTATGTCGAGCCAGGCTAGGAGGACTTGCTCGAACTTTTCCTAGTAGCGAACAGAACTCGAATAATAGTTTTGGTTTCTAGATATGCTTGGTGTGTATATATGTTATATGTGCATTAGTTTATGTGCATAAAACCTTAAGGATGTTATCATAGATGCTGTTGTGTACGTGTGTGTATGAGTGTGTGTGTGTGTGTGTTGAGCACATGTACTATATGTATATATAGATGTATATAGGCCTGTAAATGCATATATGCAAAACCCTGCAAAGGTATTGCATGTTTGCATGATCATCGAATATGTATTATATCGAATGTATTCTACAAAAGGCTTGTTTGTGTGCCTGAACATATTATTCTGTGCCTAATTCGACCCTGGCCCAGGATCCCGGATAGCTGGTTGTCCGTCATGGAGAACTTTATCGGCGAGTTGAAGGGCTGTGCAACTTGCCCGCAGCACGTGGGGTGCTTCCCATATCATCACTTGTACTTTCCTGCCCTACAGAAGATCTTCCTTGTCGGCATAGCAATCCTCGGCCTGTACTACACACCAACAAATTAATTAATATATCTAGCACCCTTAACATTTCTTAACGAACCAATAGCACTGGCCAACCTAGCTGGCTCCATCTTAGTCTGTAGGGTTCTAGGGACGGGGTTCAGGCCTAAGTCATGTAATATAGTTTAATGCATACAAACCGTATGTTGGTTTGTTAAATCATCGAGCCAGTTGTTCTGGCACAGAACGGCCGGGACGGGGTTTGTGATATTGTGACCTTAGGCTAGGACTCAGGATTCAGTGGGGGAGAGGATTCGTGGGCTACGTGTTGGTCGCAGGGTCTATCTCTACAGCTTATGGGGTTTGCACATGCAATAATCGTACAGGATGCTATGCTAGGCTGTAGACTGTACCCTAGGCATCCTAGACACTAGGACCCAAAACCCCAAAACACATAGTCTACACCTTTAAGACCGAAGTCTATTATATGCTATGCTAACATAACATTATTCACATACAACTTTATATATACTTTAATTATAGTGTATATATATATATGTATATATAGCATACTATATTATATATTAATGCAATATATCGATCTATATATATATATATATAGAGAGAGAGAGAGATAGAGAGAGTATATCATATGATATGATATTGGATACCGGGGCCACAAGAACCCTCATGGACTTGAATGAACCTAACGCACAAAACACCTTGGTGGCGAATTGGTGGCCAGGTCGGAGTGTCTATATATATGCATATATAGGAATGGGGTCTATGTGGTCAGGGATGCCAGCTGGAATGATTTAAATTTAATATGCTCGACTAGGTCTGGGCTTGGTTGGGATTACGGATGCCTGCTAATATGTGGCCCGGTTAGATTTGGGTTGGTCGAGGACAGCTAGAACAGGAATGGGGCCCCCAGGCCGGAGCTGGTTTGTCAGGTCCAGGGTTTCAGGGGCTGCTGGTAGAGGACAGAATAGCCCAGGAAAGCGGGCCCGAGGCCCAAACCCTAGGAACCCCCTCCTCTTCTTTAAAGGCGTGCGGGGCGGCCTCGCTTCGGGAAGAGCTTCGACAGGCAGAGCAGGAAGCCAGGCCTGCTGTTGCCTCTAGTACAGAGGCTGCTATAGGACCTGTTAATTAGTGTTAGGACCATATGTTAGGACTGTTAGGATCTCGTGTTAGGATATTAGGAGGCTGGTTTGAGCAGTTTCGCAAAAATGTGTTCGGTGCCCCCCTTTTAGGGGTTTGGGTGGGGCATGGCAACCCGCATTTCGAGCGCATTTTGCCGCAAAGCGGGCGCAAATTGCCGCATATGGGCGCATATTTAGAATCTGCTCGAACTAACTTCACGCGGGCAATTTGCACGAACAGTTTCTCTAGAAAGGACTGGGCAAAGCCGTCATTAGCAGAAGTACATACAGCTGTTCCATGATTGCTGCAGCCAAAAGAGGCTGCCCTACTGCTCATGATGGTGTGTGCTGGTCGTTTCGCAACTAGCTGCTGTCATCCATCCTTGCATGACTGTCTCAAGACAACTGCTGCCCTAGCTTTTCGGTATGGCAACACGTGGGCCATCCTCTGCCAGTCTAGCTGCTGGAATTGCCATGGTTCAACAGATGGCAACAGGTGTGTCAGGTGCTGACCTTGCTGCCAAGATCGCAGTCGTTTGTTTGCATCATCGGCCGTAACATCATCTAAGCTTAGCTTACGTGAACCAAACAATACAACCCTAGCCCTAACAATCAATAATTTATATTGTAAACTAGTATATATATATATATACCATATACTAGAAATAGGCTTAGTCACAACGAGGTTACATTGAGGACATTATATTATCTATTTATACATACATATATGTATATATGTTGCATATATGTACATACACACCTCATACAGTTTGTCCTGGCATTGTCATTGTGTACACATATATATATATATATGTATACATATTAATAAATATAATACATACATATATATATATATATATAGATATATACATTATATATATATATATGTGTTGTATATATGTTTCTCGTCTATCTTGAATATCGATAAAAGTCTATACATTTACGTGTGTGTGTGTGTGCAGATTACATTGTAATTAATCATCTATATATATATATATAGAGAGAGTATATGCATGCATATAACATATATAATGTATACTAACTCTTATATATATATCTATATATGCACTATAGCTTGATTTGTATCGTATAAATGAAAAGACTGTTCATATTGTTATAACTGTACCGGCCACTATAATATACCATACCATATCTGTACATATATACATATATAGACAGATATACCTGTATTCTAATATACATGATATCACTATACATACTATTAACTGACATATCACACATATGTGTAAAATATGAATTATTCCCTAAACACTAATCGATCTCTAATGTAAACCTTACATCCCAAGTTCAGCTGAATCCGCACTTGAAGCCCCCAGTCGCAAAAACCTTAAAGCAATCGTTTTCAGAGACTTGAGCTTCGGGGGCAGCCTCTTGGTTTTGGGGGCTTATGAGATTCGATGGGATCATCCTATAAACATCTTGAACCCATAGGTGGGTTTGAACAGGAAATGGCCAAGCCTAGCTTATAAAACCTGATTTTCTTAATGCGCTATCCCATAAGTGCTATCCCCCTATTACCCCTACCTCTTCCTTCCAAGGCGGCCAAGGCTCGCGTTGCCTCGCTGCAATCGTCCCTCACCAGGCAGCCGAGCACGCTGGTTGATCCGCCTGATGTCCCAGGTGCCATGATGATCGAGGTTAGATTTCACTGTTGTGTCTATTATATGTATAAACACAGATCTAGCAGATCAGTAGTACTAAGACCGAGGTGCCCCAACAACAGCTTTGTCTTTGCAGGGGGCAAGTGATGTGGCTGGAAGAAAAATTCGGAATCTTGGCAGCTTTAAAGCCAGCAGCGAGGATGCTCAGCGGGATCCCCTCTACCACGCCGACAGTAATGCGACATTGGAACTTCCCGGACCAACGTCTCCTGCAACCTCGCCCAAGCCCCTGATCACTGTCGAGCCGACCAAGACCCCTAAGAAAGAGAGGGGTCGTTCCCACCACCACCACGGCCACCGCCGCAAGCGCCACAGTGATCGGTCGAGTTGCAGGAAGAAGCTTTTGGCTTCCCCGGTGACTTTGGCTTCGACTGTAGTTCAGGATGCATGCATGCATGTTCACACCGATCACAAAATACGTCAAGATGTGCTAGTTTGGGATCCTAGGTGGCTCCTTCTTCGAAGTGTTCGAAGAAAAACCCGCCCAGCGATGATGCAAGCAGTGATGGTAAGACCTCCAAGTGCAGTACTGTTCGCTCCCAGAGCCCAACGTACTGGCGGTGGCTCGAACTACTGATCGGTTGTGTTGCATGCAATTAATGCATTACTGCCGGTGTCCGGGTCAATTGAGGTTGAGGCGGTACTTCCAGCCCCGATCCAATGGAAGCCTGAAATGCTCAAAGGAGGCCTTGGAACTTTACCAGACAGACTCTGGCAGCAGCCCGGTCAGCACTTACTGCATGTGCTTAAATTAATCTATCCGCCCAGCCTCGAATCCTCAGTGATCATGAGCATCAGCCAGGAAAGAAGCTCCACGAACTCCTCAAGGAGAAGGGTGACTTCAAGCTTCTTGAAATGGCTGTGAAAAAGGTTCACCGCAAGATGTTTGGCCAAACCAAAAGCGGCGGATGGTACACAAAGCATGCTTTGGCGAACCAGTACCACTGGACGAGGACTTGAACTTATGGTACCCAGCAACCCATAAAACTCAGTAGTGGTGCCCGTACATACGTACCGTATGACCAGGCATATGATTGCTGCTGCCTGGCAATGGGCGAGTGCTAACGGAAACTTGCGGGTCAACGAAGTGCACAAAGAGGAGGAGGCTCGTTTGGTTCTTTCAGACAACTTCGAGTTGCTTGACGAATGCGGTCAAGAAATCGCGATGACCGGCAATATCGAGATGGAGGCCCAGGGTTTGGGTGCTGGCTGTACTAGCAGCTACAACTACTTTCCAGCCTCTACTATGTGAACTGAGCCGTTGTTGTAATTGTTATTCCTAGTCCTGCTGCTGCTATATGTACTAGCTGATATGATTTTACTTCCCTTTTTCTCTATGATCTAGCTAGTACTAAAAACTACATGTATGCTCTTGCTGCTGCTGCTGCTGTTGCTACTGCTACCACTATTGCCAATACATGCTAGTGCTGCTGAGGGCACACCCAGAAAGTACGCCTCCCACTGGCACTACTACAACTTCTAGTACTACTGCAACTGTTACCGCTGCTACTACTACTACTACTACACTAACTACTCCTACTACAACTACTAGTGTGCTGCTGCTGCTGCTGCTTGTGCTCCCTACCATGTACTGCCCCCAGTACAACTGCTACATATAATGCCTACAAATGTATATAGATCCATATATTAATTACGAATTAATTCACAAAAACCTAAAAGGTTCTTTCTACATATATATCCGAACATCATATACTCCTACTGCTGCTCCTCTTGCACCTTGAACTACACTTGCTACTGCTATGGCTGTTGGATCTATCATGCAGCCGCTTTCGACTTCGGCCGCCACCACGATCACCACGACAGTTGCTACACTGTAACGCTGTACCATTTTTTCAATATCTCTCTCTGTGCCTTTCTCGCTCGATCTCATTCATAGCATGCACGTTGTCATACACAGATTTATCAGTCGAATTAAACTATACGACAAATGTTTTGTACACTCACATAAAGATACATGCGTTTCATTCCACCACTTCCTACAGGACGACTCGGGCTTCCTTATGGAGAACGACCTGCCGTCGATCAGTGGCCCGACCAGCAGCCTCCTGAGCCACCCAGCCTCCTCTTCGGATGGGCATGAGACTGTGGTTTCGGGGCAGGCTGCTTCCTTCAAGAGCCTTGCTATATGCATGTAGTGTCGAATCTGCTTCACATGCATATTGTCGTCTCTTGCAAGGCTTGGGGTTCTAAATTATGTGTGGTGATATGGGCTGAGGATGGTATTCCCGACCCTGGCCCAGAACGCATCCCCTGTGTCTATTCTGGCAAGCTTCATCGATGTCTGTGGCCGCAAGATGGACCAGTCAGATGAAATTCTGGACCGGAGTGCTTCCTTAGATTGCAGCAGTTCACTCAATCAAGCACCGCTACTTATCAGTGTCACACCTCGAGGCCTACGTGCAGTGTGAGTAATGGTGAAGTCGAACGGAAAATCTAGGCTTTAATCATGCATACTGCTTGCTTGCCGTGTGTATATTCGAACAAGTACCAGCTCACGCATGGTAGCCAAGTGCCCAAAACAGGATCTGCTACGGTGAACGCCGCAGCCCGAAATCCTAAAGCAAGCCGCATGACACCGATGGCAGGACAAGCTGCTCAAGCTTGGCAACGACCGAGCCAAAGCGACACCCAAATGCACTCAGCTTTGTTCTAGTTGTCGCACAACTAATGTAAACATTTTTTTCGAAGCTTGCATCTCAGGCTTCACGATCAAATCAAGAATATGGTGGACGAGGTGAAGGTGGCCTACAAAGCCCTGACCCTGAAGCAAGCGGACAGTGTCGTGACAGTGCCCGACCAGCCCTGCCCTAAGAAGTATTCTTCGAACACATGTGAGCGACAAACTTAGCCGACTAAGACAAATCCAGCTAACTATAAACCCCTCCCGAGGGACTTCAACAACGAGCTGCTTCGAATCTATGCAGACATGACCAAGAAGGACGTGCTGTTGAATAATTTCATCCTGCGCGCCAGGTGCTTCGATTGCACTATATGATATAGGCCTCGAACCTGAAATTTATCGATCCCAATCAGCCTGTTTTTTTTACTCCGGTATTATATAGAACTTCCCCGATAAACCTCCCAACCCGACCCTACTTTAATATTGTTAATCATATGATCTAGAAAGGCTACTCGCGACCCATAGAATTTTCGATCCCCTGCTTCTATCTATCTCTCTCTCTCTCTCGCTCTCCCTCTCCCTCTCTCTCTC